GGAAAGCGGGGGGTGCCCCGGGGCTCCACGAGCTGCAGGGGGGTGCCAGGGGTGCCCCAGGGGGCTGCGGCGCAGGGTGGGGAGCAGGGGGGCTGCAGCGCTGGCGGGGGGGCTGGAGGGACCCCCTTACTGCCCCCCTCGTGTCCTCTGCAGCAGGGGGCTGCAGAAAGCAGCTCTGGGCCCCCCGCGAGCAGGGGTTGCGTCCTGCCCCGCGGGCATCGCACGGGGCCGGGGCTGCTGCACGGGGCCGGGGGACGCGCAGGTTGCAGGGCTGGGGTCCCCGGGGGGCTCCATGCGCAGGGGGGCCGGCGGGGAAGCGGTTAAGGACACGGCGGCTGCAGGGAGCAGCGCGGGGCCCGGGCAGAGCCCAGGCCGCGGCTGCTGCCGGCCCTGCTCGCGCAGCTGCGTCACGGCGGCGCCGCCGGCCCCGCTGCGCGCTCGGCGGCTGCGCAGCAGCGAGGGCTGCGCTGCAGCGGCGGCAGCTCCAGCGCGCGCCGCCGGCTGGATGCAGCCCTCGGGCTGAAGCAGACACAAAGTGCCATTAACAGCAGCCAAGCAGGAAAAAGCAGAAACCTCTTCCCAGCTTGCAGGAACACCCTGCATGGCACCCAGAGCCTGGGGAGTCCTGCAGGCACTGCAGCAGAACCTGACAGATCCTGGAGAGCAACGAGCTCCTGCTGCACCACAGGGCAGGCGAGTTTGGGCCCAGCTCCTGGAAGGGCAGTTTCAGCCACCCTTTTTCTTAACCTGATACCATCTCCCACAGAGGAATCCTGGCCTTTGTGTTGCTCTGCAGCTGCCTGGGCTGATTTTCTTGCAGCAACCAAGCTTGCTAGCTCCTCCTCCTGCAGCCAGGGCTGCTGCAGCACCCGTGAGCCCAGGAAAGGCCCGTGTCCCCCCCACCAGGGCCATAGGTGTGAGAGCTGAAGCACTGCTGGGGCTGCAGTGACAGCAGGGAGCAGCAGCATCGCTAGAGCCAAGCTGCTGCAGGGGCTGGCGCAGGGCTCCAAACACCACCTGCATGACCTGCAGCTGCTCTCAGCCTCTGATCCTCGTTATGCAGCAGCTACTTGGCGGAATGAAGCATTTGGTAGAAACAGGTAATCGGCTCCACCAGCCAGCAAGCAGTACCCTCCTGGCATAGAGCCCAGGCTTGAAAGAAGAAAAAGAAATGCTTGATGTTAGTCATCCGTCAGATGATGATACAACTAATGGCCTACACTGAAGGAAAAATGAGGTATTTTGCAATTCTTCTTCCCCCCAACACATACAATTCTAATACAGAAAGTAAAACGTGATTTGCTTCTAAAGGCAGTGTAGAAGGTTAAGTCCATCGCTCTGAATGCTAAAATCACATTTAAATTGTTTCATGAGGGGGATACAGCAGTAGCTTCAGGAAGGGAAACAAAATTAAGACAAATTAGTGGTAAGTAACAGAATTTAAGGCATGCAGGCCTTTCCCGAGACAGACGTTTCCACAGGGCAGCAGGCGACTCATGGTGATCCAAACACGTCCCGACAGCCTGACTGCCTGCACAGGGCCTGTGGGACAGCCAAGCACCCAACAGGCACCCAGCTGCACAGCAGGAAGCAATTGGGACATTTAAAACAACCCCTGCTACAGTTGGGGCTGATATTTAAAGCACATCTCAGCTCTGCTCCACTCCTGTGCCAGGCTGAAGAACACCCTCACGAGTCCAAACAATTTCATGCATCTTTGCCCCATTAACTTCCAGGAGAGCTTGGGGGGGGGAAAAAGAGTTTTAGGTTCAAGACGAGTTTGTAAAAAAAAAATTAAGCACAAGTCATTTAGTAAAAGCACATACAGCTGGTCAGGAATATATCTAAACTGAAAAGTGGAGCATTTTAACCACAAGAATGAGCAAATGGAGCAATCCCAGCAGAAATTAAGTTACTTGCTTTTAAGAGGAACCTTGTTATATATTTATTAGTTACAAGTGCTTACATATTTCATGTACTCATCACAGTAGAGGATTCCATCACTCAGGCCCCCTATACCCCACTGCTCCAACCACATTCTGCATCCCCTCCTATAATCTCATTTATGGTAGTCTCTCCAATACATTCTTACCATACTACACTAAATGATTGAATTACTCATTGAATACACTCTGAAATGAAACAGAAGTCATTTATAAGAAAACTTAAATATTTTATTTTTAAAAATGCTATTATGCTCCTTGCTCCTCTCCACTGAATTTGGACTCCATCTTCTTCTGCAAGTACAAAGCACAAAGTTAGCAAGAATGTTAAAAACACCACCCCAAGTTTCACACAAGATGACATGAATCCAAGTGGTAGCATGTACTTTGTCAAGCATTCCCTAGCATTAAGTTCTTGTTACAGACTTATCATTTGAGAAGCAGATGGGACACACGTATCTCACTTTATGGTGTTTGAAAGCTTTAACCATCTGTAATATTCAGATGAAAGGATTTATCTGGTGTTGCAGCACTGAAAGGCTCAAACAACAGTTTTATCTTGATAATACAAGAGGAAAAATTGTAGGTTTTATACAAATCGAGATTAATCCAAGGAAATTTTCCAGTGGGATTTTTGATAAATCAGTTAAGGTGATCACTGCCATAAAACTTTGTCAGGAACACTACTCACTTGCTCCTCGTTATCTTGGTCCCTCCACGTATATCTGGGTATCATGCTGGATGTGCTCATGCTCAGCTCCTGAACTAGAGAAAGGTTCACTAGTTACTTCTTTAATAATTTTGACTTTTTTTTGTACAAACACACCTGAAAAAAGATTTCTGAGGCACTGCTGTCAAGATATCAAGGCAAGACTGAACCCAGGGCTACAGCTTAGTAAGAAGAGTATTAAATTCTACTCTCATGCATTAACTAATAGTGATTTCTCAACATTCAACAACCCAGTTACTTGGAGACTGAACATTAAATGCTCAAACCCTTTATTTCAGCCATTCAGAACAAACAAAAGGTTGAAAATTATGCTTACCTCCCATGGATGAGCACACTGGTTTCATTCAGCTTCCATCTTCACCTAAAGGATAACAACTGAGGTTATTATAATAATACACAGAAAATGCTGACCATTTCAAAACTAACTTAGAAGTAAGATTTTAAAATACATGGACTGATTAGTTATGAGGGGTAATTTACAAATTACTCCAAAATATTAGGTGAAAGAGTAAGGGGCAGAAATAGGCTAGCCTATAGACTTGTAAAGAGGTGAAAGAATATGCAAGTAGTTGACTGAAGAACTGCACCTTGCCTGAGCACAAACCGTAAATCACCAGTCTGAGTACAATGAAGTTTGATTGCAGCCAGAGGTATACTATCCCTTATGTGAAGGTATGTAACAATTTTGTCAAGCTATTACAGTTATTTTACCCTAGTTTGTCTCCTGTGGTAATGCCTTCTTCCTTCCCCTTTATGAATGAGTGGAATGTCCCCAATCCCTAGCAGCCCTCAAGTTCAATGGTCCCAGAAGTGCTTCACAAGCCAAAGGAAGACTCTAGAGATTGCTGCCATTAGCAGTCTACTGCTTTTACTCCAAGCATGAGACTCTGAAGACCCCACCCTTTTACTAGAGCTAGGCTGAGGGCCAAGTGCAATGGTCAGCAACTAGGGGTGCAATAATACAGTGCTCTTTGTTGGGAGGCAAATCACACCGTGGTCACAATATGATTTGGCCAGGCCAGAAAGGAAGCAGCTCAACTTTAGTTTCAAACCCACCACTTGGGTTTTATCCTAGCCCTTGGGGAGCAGGAAGGAGATAGGATGCACATTTTGTTTTCTATGCCATAGCAACAAACACCATGCATAAGGGATACTATATCTTTGTGCATTTTTTCAACACTCCGGATCATCCACTTTATAGCCACACTCCTCCCAACCCTCCCCAGTTAGCTCCTCAGTACTGGTGTTCAGAAGCAACATTTAGAGATGGGGTATTCACAGACCACTGCGGGATTGCACAGCCAAGTCCTAACTTGTCAATCATTATCTAGCAGCAATGACAGAAGTGGGAGAAGGCCAATCCTGCCTTTTTTTTTTTCTCTCTCCTTTTCCAGTAAGCAGCTATTTAAGAACCCCACTAGCTGGTGAGTAAAATCTGAAGCTAATCAGCTGGTTCCAAACTTGCTAGTAGTGGAAGAAGCCAAGTCATTACCCAGAACGGCGTACTTTTTATGCATCCTTTCCAACATACTTAGCCTCATTTAACGTAAGGTAACAGAACACTGGCCTTCCTGATCATGTCACTGCAGCTGGCAATGATTAACAGAGACATGCAACCCCATTACTGCTCAAGTCCTAAAACTACTCACAGGCCTCAGTGTTTGGCTATGGGGAAAACTGCAAGCAAATCAAGACTTTGTATATGCTTAATGTTACAGTAAAGCCCCCATTCACACTATGCTGTGCTCGCTCCTGACAGCACCAGTATCTGGATCGGAGGGCCTAACAGGTACGCATATGTATTCTGACACCACACTTCTGAGCTTCACATCAACTTTTGAGAAAAAGTGTATTTTACAGAGAGAAAACCAAGATGAAACACAATGCAAGCACTTTAGTGTCATTTCTTGTACCCGCTTGTTACAGACTGACTTAGAGCAGACGTTGACTATTTGCTTTTAAGTCATCTACCACACCAAGTTTCATTACTGCAAGCAATCAAAGCTAATATGAAACCCATGGTTCAGTCACAAATTGCCTGCTCTAGGAGTGTCAAAAACCTGTTAGTTCGAGTATGTAGAACAAGGCAGATGTGCCAATAATCCCTCCACGACACTCTTGCAGGTAAAATCACATAACCAGAGCACAGTGGAAAAACTGGTGATATCTTAGCATTGGTTTAAAGATAGCTAATAATTCATTTTTGCTATATGACAGTACACATACTGCCAGTTTCGTTACTGAATCTATTCACAGGTAAGATTAAGTCGTCATCAAAAAAACCCAAAAACGACTTTGTGACAAATGGTGTCACTAATGGACTAGCTAGCGTTCAGCTGCACTCACTGCAGTGTAACCAGAGACCTGCTGTTACGATGCTGAGGTTAAGGTGCAGATGCTAATGCAGTTTTTCAAAGAAACATGAAAAGAAAGCTACAGCAGGGGCAAGACTGTCCAGCAGATCAACTGTTTGCAGTAAGAGTCCTTCCTGGAATATAATACAGAAGTATCCAAATATGGCAGTAACACCAGAAACAAATATGCAAAGCAGAACTTTGCAGAATGACAGGGAAAACACGTTATACCACCTCTGAAATACGTTCTCGAGCATCAGACAGGAGCTACATTCGCTGCTGAAGTAAGGGACCTTGAAATTCAGGTTCGAGAGCTAATAAAAGAGCTAGAGATCAGCATACTTAGAAGTCTGGAAAGGTAAGCACGTTCATCCTAAAACTACATTCAGTATTTCTATAATGAAAGAGTTTAGAATTACATCCTGAAAGACTGATGAAAAATTAAATTCAGTACTACCACGATGACTACTAAAGGTAGAAAAACAGAAACTCTGTTATCGTCAAAAAAAGGCAGCTGAATGTATGACTGTCAATCAAAGATTAATTGAAACAACTGAAGTGTGCAATAAGCTCTATGAAACTCTTCCTGGGGATGTTCATTTAAGCGCTCATCTATTTCCCCTGAAAAACACGTCCAATCAGTCTTGAAGCTAACTGTATTAGCAAGCTTTAAATTACTATCCCATTTAGTTCACACAAGGCCAGAACAGTGATTATCAATGCAGTTCCTGCTTAGCCAAGACTCTACAAAAGGAAGCACTGCCGATGGGTCATTTTGTCACTGCAGAAAGTTTCAACAGTCCTTTTCTAGGCACTAGTAACACCTAATAGTGAGTTAAGATCACACTCCCTCTTCCCCACAGAGCTCTAAGAGTATCTTTGTTACCGTGTAACTAAGAAAAATGCACACAAGCCGAGTCAATATGTACAAAGGAATCGGGTCTGAAAACACTCGTCTAAGAATCACAGTAAGTTGCTTATTGATTCTGAACAAGGCAAAGGTCAAAACCGAAAGCCACGCAGCTTTGATGTAAGCTCAGTATACAGGTATGAAGAGTGCTGCACTGTAATTCCACAGTCAGAAGTGTGATGTCAGAATACCCACAGTATAAGATTACACAGAAAGTCACCAAGTTATATTATATTGCTTGTTACCTACCTGTATGCAGTCGGCAATGAGAATCTCGGAGCAAGCAGGAATACTACATCCGGGTCCTAATGTCCATTGCCATTTGTGGTACTACGTTCCTCACAGTTATGAACTGCAGAAATGCTGGCTAAGTGCAGTTACGTAGCAGGCCACTAGTTTTAAGAGTAAATTGCAGTCTCAAAAACTCCAGCAAAAATTTGCTGCCACAGTAAATGGTTGCCAAGGAGAAGCCAAGAATTCTTTCTACCATAAAAATACCACAAAATCTCAAAAGCAGTTTCAGTTTCTCATTAGCTGAATAAATAATTAGGTAGTGTGATGAGTCTACACCAAAAGATAAGATTCTGTATTAATTTTTAAGAAAGTGTGAAGATAAAGATACCAGTTGCTACATGCTGCAGAGTTTCGAGATAACTGTTAAAATGGGCTCAATTTTGTGAAAGCAAGATGAATTGCAACAGCCAATGTCCTCCAAATCCCACAATAAAAAAAAATGTTATGTGATCCAGACCATCCAAAAATGGGTCTGGCCAACCCAGCGCTTGGCCAAATAGTTTAAAAAAATCAGTTATAAATCTGATTTTTATGAACAGGACCAATACCACATCAGAACATATCAAAAGAGCATGTCCGCCTCCCCCATTTAACAACTTTATCAGATTTTAAAATTGGTATGTTTGCCAGCTTTTAAGACATTGCCTTTAAAAGGTCTTGTAATCTAGTTGGCTAGTTAATAATATACCTGATTAATACGTGCAACTCAAAAGCAGAACTTGTTTGTTTTAGAAATTCTGCTTATGCAGCTACCAGGCTAGATTTAACCAAACTTTCGTATGTTTTGAAAACTGCCAAATCTTTCAGTAGATTTACTAATCACAGTTTTGCAACTAGTCTATTTTTAATACCTCGCAACATAGCTTACGTACAAACTGGGGTACCAAAAGACAACCTTTGCAAGGTACAAGGACATCAGCATCCTTCACTCTTCAAAGTTACAGAACTACAAAAGAACATACTTTAGGATATGCACCAGCATCTCTTTAATAAAGAATGACATGTAATCTGAAAAATAAACTGAAAAAATTAATGTAACGTTTACGTTCAGAATCCCCCATCTCAGACACCTTCACCTTTTGTGGGTGTCCCACGAACACCCTCCAGACAATATATGCATTATTTAATCCTACTAAATAAAACCAAATGCAGCTGGACTGCTGATTTTTTAACTAAAGTATCCAATGTAAGGACTCCCCAATACTTGGTCTGCAGTTCAGGAACCGCCATTCCAGATTCCTGAGTAGCAATTCATCGTGGTAGCATGTTATCCGCCCCCAAAGCTTTTTCTGGGAAAATAGAAACATTCACCAAACCAGCTGAGTCACTATTTCGTGCACTTCATATTCAAAGTCAGCATTACCTGGTATCAACATTTCACAACATGCTAGTATTTTTACATTTAAGGAGTAACAGCACTTACAATGAGTACTTCAAGAGGGATCATCTGCACTCTAAGATATTGCAAACTGACACTAATGTTTTAACCACAGAAAAATTTAACATAGAATTTTGAATTAGCCAATGCTTAGCACAAGGAATGGAACGATCTTCAGCAAATTAAAAGCTATTCACAGAATACTCAGCCATTGGGGAACTGTGTGAAGGTACAGCCACGCTAAGCTTATCTACATCGTGCTAAGCAGGTTGAGGTATCCTGCAATAACACCAAGGCATTTTACACTGGGAAGTCAAGTTCCCAGCTTATTTGGTACCGTGTAATAAAAAAATCAAAGTAACTACCTTATAGCAATAAGTCCAGAATCCTTTGCAATTCTTCTGGGACTTAATGAAGCTGACAGCAAGCTAACAAATTCATCCAATCTCTAAGACAGCCTTAAAGGGAGTTTATTTGCACTGTGTAGTATTAACTATTAAACTCCATACTTGAATACTACTTTTGATGCATTTTCTCCAAACATCAATAATAAAGTGGCAATAACCATCGTGCAAGAATGCTGATTTCTGTGTTTTGCATACAGCTTTTCAGAATTTACCCACAAGCTACAAATTTTAAGACTAGTTTCTACAGATCTCTTAATAATACAATTGACTTCTGAACTATGCAATCAGTCCACTCAAATAGCATGAGGACATAAGCAAGTTAAAAGTATAAAATTAACAGATTCTCCTCTATTTGGTTTAAGTAACACTTCTGGTCTTTTTGCCAAGCAATTTTAGTTAAGTATACAATACTAAACAAGGCCAGATCCTGTAATCCCAGGCAGCTTAATAGCAGATAAATATCACATTAACAATCCTTTAATTAGGAAGTCAGTCAATACAAGGCATTCTATGGATTTATATTAAAATAACTATTTCTCGTCTTCTGCTTAAAAGTCTTTCGAAGATTTCAAGCAGTAAATGCCAAGGTGGTTAAGTGCTACCATCCCACCACCCATTATCCACGGCTAAAATCTGGAATTCATTACAGGACTGCTTCACCGCTTGCAGCAGAGCTTTCATTATGGTATCTTACAGCACTTTGCAAGATTTCCATTTGCTTCCTTATTGCAGCACGATTAATGCTCAAAGAACTGTACATACTGGAAAATTAGGCAACTATTTGACCCCATCTTAAACTAGAGGCAGGGGATTATGAGAGAAGATCTCGCTTTTCACTACTTTTCCACACCCTGGTCTAAATTTGACCTCAATTGCAAAACTCATTTGGTTAACGCTGAAGGTGTGGTATTTAGCCTCATATTTTTAACCACGAATGGCAAGAAGAATTACTACATTTAGTTTTCTATTTATTTGAAGCACAGTAAAAAAAAGTTGGTACACTTTGGGAATTCAGTGGCACAAGGTACACTGCCATCAAGTTAGGGACGTTATACATCAAAAAAACAGCTAAATTTGTCTTGAAACACTGCATTACATAATTAAATTGTACTTGTCCAAACAGACCACTTACAAATATTAGGTCAGTAAGTTTCTAACATCCATAAAAACGTAGCTTTCTTACTAAAATGCAAGAATTAAAAAGTTGGTGTCTAAACAAGACAGACAAAAACAAACTGGAATGAAACTACAGGTCACATCTAAAATCGGGGCTTTTTGTTTGGGCCTTCATATTCTTCTCTCCCTCTACCATATCCTGCTGGCGTTCCAGGCCCCATTCCTCTAGGACCCTGGCCACCCACAGGCCCCGCACCTCCCTGCCCAAAGCGCTCAGGACGCTATTGGAACAGAATTAACAGTTCATTATATGTAGTTGATGTCCATGTGTGTTAAGTATATATTTTTAGAAGGTTCCGTAGTCAAGGTTCGTCGATACAATCACCATTGAGCCGATCCACAGGTACCGGGAACATAGAAAGGAAAAAAGGGTAATTTAAAAATTAGTTTATTGTAATACATGCCTTGAGGTATGTTCCCACTTGATGCATTCTCATACATCTGTTACAAAGAACAGATCCTCCCTGCAGTGCTAGAAATGTAAGCATTAGTGCAGATGTGAATTAACAACTTTTCACATTGATCTCTAGCAAATTGTCAACCAAGTTAATGCAAATAGCTTGCAAACCTCTCACCTTTAGTGCAGCAAAAATTTGCTTACATCACTGTCGTTTCCCAGTAAGCCTAGCCAGAGACAGCAAGTTCAGGTTACTGAAGTATGAGCTGACATTCATAAAATGTCACTGTAAACAGAATGCCTACTCACCAGTTAATGGCATGTGCTGCAATAGAGACCATGTGCTTTTCAAGATGGGGTTAAGACTACGGTCTGCTGACTAAACTGCAGAGGCCTTAAGTAGTAATCAAAAGTGTGATTGTGAGCACTACTGGATTACAAGAAGAAAAAATATGAACAGCTAATGACCAGTGATTTACCTAACCAACGCAACAATTGCTGGATCAAAAGACTTGCATTTATTATGTCACACGTACTTCAGAACTGCTGCTGCATAATATGCAAAATATGTTCAAAGAACTATTTTTTTTTCTCAGTGTTTCAAGCTGGAACTATGCACACAGGTTTGCATGCATCCAGTTAATTCTCCTCCTTCCCACCCCACCTTGATCACAAGCTCTTGGAAAATTCACTAGAACTTTAAGAGCATTGAAAGGCTTCATATACTGAGATGTAAAAGCTAGATTGCCCTGCAATAAAGCAGAGACTCCAGGTATCTTTACTCATAAATACCTCTGTAATTGCATGTACTTCATTCAGTTACTGTATCAGTAGATGTGATCAGCATTTGATCTACAGAACTGACAAATTATAAAGTCAAAGACTGCTTTAAACTTTCATTTCAAGCAGGTCTACTCTTACTGAGTCACAGAACAATGGTAGGTAGGTTCAGTTTGCTACAAAAGGTATCTGCAATTGCAGTTATTCACACCTCCAAGCTCTTGGCTTCCAAAGGTTACCTTCCATCCTTCCATGAAAGGAATTGCAGAAGTATTACTTCAGGAAAGCTTGTCTGCCTGCGCGTCTTTTTAAAGCTATCGGCTCGATAACTGGGACAGTACCGTGTAGCAGAGATCCCTGTCCCTATGAAACTCAAGACAGTTAAACCATCTTATTGTGACCCATTTTGACCACATCACGCTTTCAAGTTTACACAAGTTCAGCATGCACCTGTACCATGAATTTCATAAGGAGAAAAAAACGTACACACCATTCACCACAGACTGCCTAGCTGTTCACTGGAAGCTTATGAACTGCTTACATATATCATCAGTAGATTACAGTTTCATTAAGGCCACCGGCACTGTCTACTGAATCAATGATGCTCTGCAAAGTTATGATTCCAAAGATATGGTTCTCATAAAAGCAGAAGATACAAGCTACTATGGTAGCTCACCACATTAAGCCAGAGGCCTAATCCCACCCAAAAATCATTTACTTCAGTTTGTGCCACAGAGAATACACCCTTTAAAAGGAGGGTGGAAGCACACTCATAATCACGACCTGAACCAACGGATTTCTATGCTACCCGTTCAGCATTTCTTTAATCTTTCAGTATTGCTTCAGTGTGATAACACCAAGCAGGCTCAAAGCCCTTTCACACATATAGTGTGCAAAAAAATGTACTGTTTGGAAGCATATCTCTACTCATGAGATATGCAGTACTTCAAAAATTCTACCTGTAGTCATGTCCAACAAGGAGGAAACAACAAGTAAGAAGAGGCTATCATTCCTGCTCAGATAGGAACCACAAAATGGCTGCAGTCAAGGAACACGGGAATATGCTAAAGCTAAATAAGTGTTTCTGCTCTTCTATGGCAAACATCAGCATACAGAATAAACAATATGCTGTTTACGATTCATTACTTAAATTAATCTGCTGCTTAGACAGACATGAGCACAGCTTTGGAATTAACAGAATATCCATACCGAAGAGCATCAACTCTACCTAGGCTTGGAAGGACTAAAATACTCTGAAAGGGAGAACAAAGGTCTCACCTGAACATAAATATAGAATGTCAAATTACTTAAAATACATAATTATGTAATAGTTCTTAACTCTGCAAATTGCAGAATCCTCTATCTGTATCAGAAACGCAATTTTAAATTGTATTCTGACTTATGAAAACTCCTTCCAAGCCTAACTGTGATGCAGAAAATCCAAACACCAATAAAACCAGGTAACTGCAAATATGCTTAACAGCACATTTGAATTTGCTTGCAAACAACTTCCATAAGCTACCATAATGGTTAAGAACTAAGCTAGCACCACACATCACCAAACTAGTCCTCCACATTAAATATCTGACAAGAAAGTCAGCAATTAGAAAAGAAGTTTAAACATCCATCCAAAAACCAGTTAAGAAACTCAATTCCCAATTGCAACATTTTCCTTGTGCTAAACTAAAGCCACCACAGGATACGTTACCATGTCACTTCCCATCATAGAACCACTCATGGCTGCTTGGCCAACTCCTGGATTAGCTTCATAACCTATGCCGCCACCACCTCCGAGAGGTGGAAATTTCTGGGCTGCAGAAGCATAAGGATCTAAGAAAGAAAAATATATAATCATATTCTGACAATTTCCAAGTCAACCACATAAAGTCAGTATTAAAAAATACTTTACCTCCCATGTTCATTGTGGTGGCACCACCCATTCTCATGTCTCTCTCTCTCTGCACAGAAGAAACAACCTTTAGTATAGGGAATCAATTAAGGAAATCTATACCTTCCAGGAGAAAAAGCAATTACACAGCCAATTACTATTTTTTCACCTACGTGCACAGAGAAATCCCATTACCTAACGGAAGGGAAGCAAAGTGTGTTAAATCTTGAAAACACATCAAAAAATTCTAAAAAATCCCTGAACATGGTAATAAACAATCCCGGAAATACCACGATTTCACTTACTGGATCCATGTAACCCATTCTACTATAATTCTCTTCTCTCTGCCTTCTCATTTGCTCTTCCATTTCTCGCTGACGTATCATCATTTCCTCTTCCCGCCTGCGACGCTCTTCCTCCTGCCTAATCATTGCAAGACAGGCTGTTAAATCTCATGAGACTAGCATATTCAGCATCTAATAAGCATCACTTACACAGTAAGAAGTCACTTAGTATTCACTGTGAGTTCTATCAGTTACTGAATCCTAACACTTCACACGGACAAAAAGCTCAAATACACAAAGAAAAACTGCTGCTGCAGTTCAATGGCACATAAACAAACCCAAACAGAAAAGGTTTAATTTGAAGATATACACTAACAAAACGGATGAAAATCACATGAAAGTCAAACCAACCTCAGCTGAATTTCCTTGCGTTTCTGCATTTCCTGATTATGGAGTTCTTCCATACGTCTCAGCTCTTCCTGCCGTCTCATAAGGTCTATAGAAATTAAACTCGTCAGAAGTTGTTTCACAAACTCACTTCTCAGCTTAAGCTCATAGCTAAAACAGATCCATTTCATTCACACCAAGACAACCACCTTCTCATTCTGCATTACTTTCTCAGTTGCCTTTTAACTTACAAAGACAGATGGATTTTTTTGCTTAGCAGAATGTAGCAAGAATTTATTCATGAAACCATCAGACATACACTTATGCTAATGGAGTAAAATTCAGAACCAATTACCTTGACGCAAGAGGTTTGCCTGATGTTCATGGTAAGCATCTTCCATCTCACTTTCAAGTTTGTCCTTGGCATCTTTCATGTTTTTTGCCACTTGTTCTCTCTGCTGCTTTTCCATTTCATCTAAAGACTTCCACCTCTGGGAATATTCAAATTCAAAACTGCCAGGCTGAGCAAAACGGGGAGGAGTCTCTCTTTCCCTGCAGAAAAGATCGTTTTCATTCAAGCTGCATAAGGCTGGAAACTGAAGGTCAATTTAAGATCACAAGTAGGACAAGAAGAATTACCAGGAAACATCAAAGGAACTCTAAATATTTTTCCAAAAGACGTGATATAAATCTTGCTGCAACAGAAGAGTGAAAACAGTCCCCTGCATGGATTCAAACATTTAATACAAATTCTTTCAAGGACTTCAAGGAGCAAATGAGGAGAGTTCTGCATGACTGCTTTCCTAATAAATATGCTCAGCTCTGGTATCAGTGCTTGTTTATCCGACTCCTTTAAAATTTAAATTCTAAATACTGCACTATTAGCAACAGACACACAAAACGCAGACGTTGACAGAGTTAAGCATACCTATTCAGCAGGCACAAGCTTTTCAATTATGACTTACCCAAAATCATCATTAAAAGCCCATTAAAAATGTTTTCTCTAATATAAATCTCCTTAAAATATCATTACAGCTTTTACAAGCCTTGTAAAGAAGGTGGAATCTAAGATTCAATAGCTGATGAAACAAAACAAGAAGAATTTGAAGTGATTTATACACTAGTATTTAAAAGTCAAAAAAACCAAATCCACTCTATTTTCAAAGACATTGTCTCAAAATAGCTTACATTTCTGATTGTAGCAAATTTTGAACATTTCATTATACAAACAAGACTCAGGATCTTCCTCCCTACTCCTTTTCGCAATGCAAAATACACATTCCTAAGACAAACCAACTCAGGGTACAGAGCATAACACGATGCCAGGACTACAGATTCCTACAGACCCAGACCTACCACTCCATTCTCGTATCCATTAAGCAGCCAAATTCACATACTTTAGTTTTCAATCACAGTACCAGTTAATATTGTATTTTCTTTTTCCTTTCATACACTTTGTGTGAATTCTTGAGTCCTTACAGAAGCATCAACCTGGTACATGCCTCATCTTTGAAGCAGGTAGCAGTTCTCAGTACTAGGTAAACAGTAAGCTAAATGTCTAATTTTTCCAGAGCTGCACGGGTAGGTTTCTACATGTCCCAGCAGATAAATACTGTTACTGTGCTGAGTATTTATGCTTTGCTATTATTCTTTGTGATACAATGTAGAAATTATTTAATGCTAAGCAAGTATACTCATCAAAAGTAACATTTCTCAATTGATGAAGAGTAAATGTAAGAATGGCAGGTTAGCTAAAAAACGACTAGAATCAAAATCAAGGACTGAAAAGTACTGGAGTCTAAATTCACAGCTCATTTCTGAATAATTAACCCTTTCAGGCAGAGAAAATACACTAGCACCTCTATGTCATCTTTACACCAAAGGAGAGTGCCTACTTTTGATACATCGGATTCTTCTGAGCGAGCTTTTCTGGAAGACCATCTTCATCATCCAGTTGCTCCAGCGGTTCTACAATAACTGGCCTGGGAGTGCTGAACAAAGAAATACATGCATTCATTACATTATCCAATTTAAACCTCCATTCTGAGAAGCAGTAAGGAAATGAGAGCTTCATTCAGTTGTAAGCTATGTGCAGAATACTAGAGGAAAACAGCACACTTACGTTGTCAACAAAAACACTCCTTCAGTACACCGTTCAAACGCTTTTCTTGCAGCTGGCTTTGATGCAAATTCAACAATGCCTTTTCCTGTTGATCTGCCTCGATCGTCTACAATTACAACAGCTCTTTCCACTGGACCAAACTGGGAAAAAGCTTCTTCTAGTAACTCGTTGGACACATAGGGTGAAAGATTACGCACTGAAAGAGCAGCAGCATGTGTGGCAAATCGGACACGAAGCTGTCGACCCCTCATGGGGGTATCGTCCAGTTCTGCTTTTGCAATTTCTGCAAGAGCTCTGGATTCCTGAGGAAAGTTTAAGACCCGTTTTAGAGAGATTCAATTGTAATTGGCTATTTTGTGAGAATTAAACGGATGCACGCTACGGAAACCTACCAATTTAATGAAACCAAATCCTTTTCCCTTATTGATAAAAACCTCTCCCGGCTCCCCATATTTGGCGAACAGTCTTTTGAAGTCCTCATCTGTGATATCGGCGGGCAAATTGCCAACAAACAAGCGGCAGCGCTGAGTGTAGGTCTTCTCCCCGGGCCGCCTCAGAAGAGACAGGTTTGCTTTAAAGCCCTAGGAGGAAAGAGAGCTGCTCCAGCAACGGGGCGGCCGCCGCGGTCGGATACGAAGGGCTGAGGCCGCGGGGCCCGCGTGTCCGGCGCCGCCGCGGGCTCGCCCCCCGCCGCGCCGGCCCCGCGCGCTCCTCCCCTCAAGATGGCGGCGGGAGCGCGCGGCGCCACCGAGCCCGGCCGCAGCCGCCGCCATCTTGTCGCTCGGGGCCGGGAAGGGGGGGCGGAGGAGGCGCCGTGACTCACCTCGTCCGAGAGCTTCTCGCCGCCGCCCGGGCCCTGCTGCGCCGAGTGGCTCTGCTGTCCCTGGTGCTGCTGCCCGCGGCCGCGCGGCTCCCCGCCCGGGCCGCCGCGGTGCCCCGGGCCGCCCTTGTGCGGCCCGCCCGGGCCTTGCGAGGGGCCGCCCGGGCCCTTGGGCCCGCCGCCGGGAGACTGTCCTTGCCCCTTCTTGGGGCCGCCGGCGGGAGTGGGGCTGGGGCTCGGCTTCGGCTGCTGCTGCCCTCCCGGGCCCGAGGGCGTTGAAGGGGGCGCGGAGCCCTGCGCCTGCTGCTGCGGTCCCTGCCCCGAGGGCAGCGCGGACGGCGGCGGGGCCCCGGGGCCGGCCTGGCTGCCGGCCGGCCCCGCCGTGGTGGCGGCGGCGGAGGAGGAGGACGAGGAAGGCGGAGCGGAGGTGGAAGCGGGCGGCTTGGGCGGCTCGGGCTTGGGGCCTCCACCCGGCGGGCCGCCCGGGCCCTGCGGGCCGCCCCCCATGGGGCCGCGGTTCTGGCCCATGCCCATGCCGGGCGGCGGGGAGCGGAAATCGTGGTTGGGTCCGCCGCGGCCGCCGCCGCCTCCTCGCCGGTGGAAGCCGCCTCCCCCGCCGCCACGGCTACGGAACCGATCCCGCGACATGGTGGAGGAAGGAGGTGTCCGGCGCCGACCGCTTCTCCTCAGAGCCCGCTGCACAAAATGGCGGCTAGATGAACGGCCTCGCCGCCGCCTTTGTCCGCCCCTTATATAGCTTCCCCGCCCCCGGAAACCACCCCCTGCGCCCCGCTAGCCAACCGCGAGTCGGCGCGGTCAACAACGATGGCCGGAGGAGCCAATAGCGGGCCTCCATTGGCGGGGTCTTTGAGCGCGTTGGTAAGGAACTCGCCCTCTGCTCATTGGCTCGTTTGACGGCCGACGTTTGGTCGGGACAGCCGTTAACCTCGCGCTTGCCGATTGGACAGTTTGATCGGCGGGAGGCGAGGTCACGAGGAAACCGTGGCCCGCGATTGGCTGGCCACGCCGTCGGTCACGAGCGGGCCCGACGCTGGCCGCAGGCCCCGGGCGCCTCCGCGGCCCCCGGGAATCCCTCACAGGAGGAGCCCCCAGCGCCCCGGGACAGCCAACGCTTTAGCCGGGCAAGGGGAAAGCGCTGGGTTCCAATATATTTTTAAATAAATACATTTGCTTCCTTTTAACATAATCGGCCGCCTTAATTTCTACTTAGAAAGCAAATTTGGTTTGAAGAATTAAATTTCTATCTCCCCGCTCATTAATGGACAGCAGCAGTACAGCTCCAATGTAGTAGGATGAAGTTACACACATTTTGACTCCGCTTTAAACACCTAACAGGAAGTGGCAGGAATTAACATCGCTATTTACCCTGCTTCTTGTGAAAGCAGATGTGGCTCTGTGCCACGTCACCTTCGCTGGTTCTATAAATAAAAATAATAGTAAAAACAAAGGTGTTCGTGGTAGAGAGAAGCTTAAAGGCACATCATGATTATGATCCCAATATTCCGGCCTATAACACGGAAAACAGGGCAGAACTCCCTCTACTCAGTGTCACCGGCCCCACTGGTCCCTGTTCTCTGCTGGAGCAGTGACACCTTCAGTGCTTTTGCTGCACAGGGTTTCAACCCGCAAAGGCCCCCGAGCTCCCAGTGCTGTTTCACACTCAGTTTCAGCACTGAAGAAGCAAAACATTTGGAGAAACCCAAGTGAAAGTCGCACGGTTTTCTCGATTTGCATCGAAACCCATGTTCCATTTTCATGAATATGACCCTACAAATCAGATATATTTATGAACCTCTGGGCAGTCAAAAGTGGACTTTGCTACACAATTTTCCCATGACTCTAAATGTGTAAAATAATTCCCCACGTCAGTACTATACTGGGCCTAAGGCTTCAACCAATTCAAGGGCAGCTGAGAGAAGCCCCAAGTTTTGTTTTAAAATGGATTCTCTGCTGAGATGTCAGTGCAAGCAGTAAGCGTTTCCACCACAAGGTGTCCCAGAGGTTATAGCACTAGGAGAAGAAATTTGGGACCGACTCCAACAGAACACAAAACATGGCATTTCCTCATTGTCACACCTACTTTTCTGTTCAGTAAACAAAGCATTCACCATAAAATAGTTTTTTTTGTTTGTTTGGTTTTTTATGCCTTTGTTTAAACTCTGGAGCCTCAATCTCCCTCACAAGTAACACCATTTCTTTCTGATCTCAAATCTGGTCATAGCACAATTCTGTTTAAATCTAGACAATCAACTTGAAGTCAACAAACTAGCCAGGATATGATCAAATGTCTTTGTAACACCATAAATGCATTATACGTATTCATCTTGGAGCTTGAAATCAGAGGCATCGATGAAGCTATCAGGGTCTGGAAGAAAAATGACCTCTACTAACAGCCACCTGATTCTGTAAATATTCGCATGAGGCAGCTTGTTGTTATAATACAAAACCAAACACTGAGGAAATAGCTTGAGATGTTCTCTACAGCGTGTCCCACTGTAAGCAAATTTTGTGCCTGACACTGGAAACTCTTCAGGACATCTGCAATACATTTCAAGCTGCTCTGTATTATTTCTCCATGCTTCCTACATTCACTTGATTATCAGGATGCTTGGTGCAATATTTATTAGTTTAGTTTAAGAGAGATTTTGGGGAAAAACAAGCCAACAAGGGAGAACTCAAGATACAACCAATCTACAAAAGTGAATTGAGGCAGTGTAAGAAGTGGTGTGTGACTCAAGAGAGGAAAAGTCCCGTAGCAAGTTGCAGAAGGAATATTCCAAAGAGGGAATGAGCCTTGCACCCTGCTCAGCTGCAGGCTCTGCTGTCTGGATTTTGGCGTACTCTGATACATCTGTCCGGAACAGCGGGGATTTCTGCAGTCCAGTTTCATCACACCGGGGCTCCATACAGTTTCACAAATAACAGTGTCAGCTTTTAAAGGATGGAGGGGGAAGTAAAATGCCCACAGCAACATCTGGTGGAGAGCTGAGAGACGGGATAGGAGTGTCTAAGAGCTGCTGCACCAGCCACCGGGCGCACAGCAGAGCTCTCAGCAGCCTTCCTCTGTCACTTCATGATGAGAGCTGGCCTTTCACTCCTCCACTGTTTCACTCCCTGCCTGAACACTGATTAAATCTGCCCTCCAAGCATTTTTATTTTTTCCCCTGTACACCATGACAAATATGCCTGCGGGCCATTTTTTAACCCAGATGAGTGAAAGTAATGCAAGGGCAGATAAGAGACTACAGTGACAGCAAAGCAAATACAGAGACTGAAGCGAGGAGGGGGTTGATTGTCTTTGCACAGTAACATAACTGATTTCCCTGGCTATATTTTTGACTTTTTCCTGGAAAAAAATAAAATAATAAAAAAAAAAAGGAGATCAGAATTAGTTTCAAGGGTCTCCAAAAACGGCAAAATTGGAGATCTGCTAGCTGAACACTACAGAACCCCGAAGTTCACAGTTCTGTGGAAGACTATATTCTCTCAGTCAGGGACAGATCAAGTTAAGAATTTTTCATTCTAACTTCTTCAAATAAACTTACGTTTCTGAAATTTCTTTTGCAACAGAAATGTGGAGCTTCGTTGGCTTTCCTGACACTTCTATGAGTTCCAGTGTTTGTAAGGGAAGGTTTGCTGTGAGTCTGGATGGGCCAGACAAGCATTGGGCCTGGAAAGACAATCAGTGGCCTTGTGGAAAGCAGGAAGGAAACATTATACACCGCTATTATAGCTGGAGATAGTAAGTACAGCTACTTATCATTTGTATCATGCAGCTCCAATTGCCACTGTATCTGACTATCTCATTACCTTTAGCGTGTTCATACCTCAGCTAACAGAGAGCTCCGAGACAGGGAAGTCCTGCAACTTGTTCAAGGTCACACAAACAGTTTCTAGCATGGCAAGGAAAGGAACCAGATGTCTTAAAAGCTGGGTGAGTACTGGAACAATTGGGACTTGCCTCCCCATGCTGCCTGCTTCCTCTGCTCTCCGGAGTAGCTGCGTTCTGCTGGCAGACACGGGATACTTGCACATAGTGGGTGTATCACCTAAAGACACACTTGAACAAGCCAAGTTTGGCTTCCAGGAGGCTCCAAGAGCCCTCCGTTTCCAGTGAGAACAACTGGAGCAAAGGATGCTCACAAGCTTGCAGGAAGCACTCACCATCAATCTATACATTTCCTTGAGCTGTAGAGAAAAAAGACATTCATAACTGAAATGTGTTTTGCAGCGCTACAGTTAACATTCATTTCTTAAGAGAATTTCAAGTTTTGTCACTGACAATAAATAGGTGATGAGAATGGAAGGCAGCTGTTAAAGATGATCTTATTCTTCATTCTTGCAGAGAAGGAAACACAGGCTCAAGGAAAAACACATACATCAACTCTGCAAAAATTCCAGCGGCTCTCAATTGCTGCTTTGGTTAATGTTTGCCTATGCGAAGAATGTGAGGGAGAAAAACTGAGCAGACTCACCATACTATTTCGTTATACCGCCACAATCTCCTGAAAAGTTTGCTACATCTTCTATGTATATTTTCTATCCGTTGTTACTTCCAAAACGGAGGGAATGTTGGAAACAGACAGAGAAGAGACAACCATAAGAATTAAAAAAGAAAAAAAAAAAACACCACCCTAGAACACAAAAATGGTAGAAGTATTCAAATAAATAGATGCACCCTCCTTTGCACCCCTAAAATTAGCTATACAGCTTTCAGGAATGAAAAAAATCTCTACGGCTTATATGGTAAAGCTTTGCTGGTGAAAGTACTGACATACTCAGCAGTGTCAGGACACATGTAATTGTCTAGGGCCACAGGGGACACGAGATACTTAGAGACAGGTAGTATCTTCTGATGAGACAACTACACGGTTAGAAAAATTTATATGAATCCCAAAAATATTAATTTAGGTCTTAGAAGAGAGATTGTGAATTTTAAAATTCACCTGCTATTCAGATTAAAAAAGAAGATGTAGAATGGATTTACAGTGATTTGTAATTATAACAAAAGCATGATTGCACTGAACTTAAATTCGGGTCCAAATTTCATATACACCCATAAATCCATCCAAACAGAAAATAACTTTATAATTAATATTGGATCCTTCCTACTACAATAAGAGACCATTAACTATTTATGGTGTTTTTCTTTCTTCCCAGCTGTTTACATGTTTTCATCTTGCAGTTCACAGCGTGCTCTGGATAATGCAGCACACATATCAAACCGCTCCGAGCCACGCAAGTAACTGACCCTGCTGCTCTATGTTATCAAGCAAAATACAGAGGGGCATTTGTTCCCAAGTGCATAGCTAGAATATTCTCTTTTGAGTTCAGCTTCCTCCTTTCATCCCACCCACCATCAGACACTTCCTGACATTTCTCCTGCAGGCAGAGCAAGGCAACTGCCTTTTTTATTTTTTTCCCCTCCTCTCTTCCCTTTTGCAACGGCTGCTCCTTCAGTAATGTGTGGGTGGTGGGGGAAGGGGATGTTATCTCAACACCAAACACCGCCAAGGGAGTCTGCGACAGGAGGGGGAGTTTTAGGATGAAAATAGGTCTCTGCTATCCCTCCTCCGTTTGTGTATCCATGACTAAGCACGGCGAATGCTCTGCTTTTTAGAACTTAGCTTCTCGCTTGCCTTGATCTTTGTTGTTTCCAAGGCTCTTGATTGCCTTTGTCCTTGCTGCCTCCAGGGACCTTGCTGAGGCCCCGACACAGCCAGGGCCACGGAAATACAAATCCTGCCGAGCAGTGGAGCCTGCTGTTCTGCCTGGCCTGTTGTCACCCAAGCTATCAGCCTCCACCGTGACATGAGCCATCCGTACCTGGGGACAAGGCGAGAGCATCCCCAGAACAGGAGGACAACCCCCCATTGCTGCTCAAGCACCTCCCCACCCTCCTGCCCTGCTCTGGTATCAGGACGAGGCTACACTAGGACTATTAGTACATTCACCAGTTTTGCTTATACCGTTATAGTCCTAACTTCAAAGCTGTTGGCATCTAAAATATGGGACTACCTAAAACTAGTAAGTTTGAGCGGCTCTGCACATACCTGGGGAAAAAATAAATAAATAAAAAAAAATCTCATGCCTAGAGCTATTCTATGCTCTGCTGGGAAGCTGCCTGCAGGCCTCCCTACATGTCCTGTCTCTGTCCTCTATTCCCATCCAGGCAGAGGAAGAAAAAGTCTCCTTTCCTTCAACTCTGAGGTCCTCCTCAATCCTGCAGGTTCCCTTTGGGCCACTGCTGTCCCCTGCTCTGCTGCTACCCTATCTCACATCCCTTTTGTTCGCTAGCCTGTGGCTTCATAGGCCAAGCAAACGGGCACTCTTCTCCGAGTCTTCTGGCTGTTGTCTGGGGCAGACACTCGGGCTTGTGTAATTATGTCTGGAGGTCAAACTCCAAGCTGGCAAAAGCTTGAACTGAGAAAGGGATTGAGAGCAGCATGAAGGAACTCACATGGGGATTTTGCTCAGGACTCTCCCCTGGCAGGAGCACATTGTTACCAGCACAAACATGCCTGTAGGGGGGTGGTTGGTCACTTTTAGCCCATAGCTCTAAGGTACACTGGTTCAACCTTCTCTACTAGAAATATCTGGGCAGTCAGGAGACATTCAGGCTTGCTAACTCCAAACTCCCATTTTGTTAAACAGCACTTGGTACATTGGGGGTGCTCAGTGTGAGAAGAACACGTACAGATGCCGTGTTTCTCATATTCCTCTGCATCAAGCCTACCTTACATAGCCAATAGGATGCTCACAAAATGCTCACTGAATTTGGATCCTCACAAAGCTCACTGAAAAAGCAAACAAGATTATTTGTTGTGATTGTTTATGATCAGAGTCATTCCATAGTATTGTAAGCATCTGCAACTGCAATTCTCCAAATAGAACATGAACTCAGAGGAAGGAGCGTCCAGATTTCTGCATGTAAGGCTGGCAGGTTTTCTGGGTGATCTATATTCAGCTGTGCATGCCCGTGGGTACGTGGAAAGATCATTCATCCAGTTCACTGAACTGCAGCCTGCATGTGAAAGGAGGTTTATGCTTTCTTTTCTAAAATGTCACTGTTTTAAAAACGAAGTGTTTCATGCAGAATTGTGCAGCAGATTATAATATGGGAACTCCAGGGATAAATTAAAAAGCAATTCAAAAACAATACACAGTGGAACAATCTTATCTTTTCTCAGCCTTATCCAGGCATTTATATAGGTCTATTCCTACACTACTCATCACCACATTATCTACACATTATACAGTCTCTTCTTTCGCCACATTAATACGTATACGGTTCATTTAGAGGCAAAAGTCAGTCATGTCTGGACAAGCCAGAAGATGTGCTGCACCAGTTTAATTGCCTATAAGGGCCAAATATGTCTACAGAACATATATACCAGGGCTGATTTAGGTCTACACGGTCTGTGCCAAATTGTCATCCTCTCAGCTTGCTGGCCATAACATCAACTTCAGCAAACCTATGAGGCACAGATTGCAATAGCATATGATTTTCTTACACTGTTTTAAAGACAGAAGCTATTTTTAACCAAACATTTTAATAAAATACTGGCCTGAACGCATCTTCAGTTGCGTACTGAAAGCTCAAATATTTCCATCAGCTCCCTAATTTACTTAAGGGAAACATGTAATAAAGAGCTACTTGTTCCCATTAGCATGTTCTGACCAAGCTCTATAAAGTTTTTGTTTTACAGAAAACAACGGACCTATGCATATAGTCCTAAGAAGTTATAACAGCAGTTTCATCAAGTTTCTGATGTTAACTTTAAGTTTCACAGTATTTGAAATTATTCTGATTTTCGAGGGTTTTGGAATCATGATTATGTGTCAATATAGATTTAATTAGAACAAAGAAACAACCTCCCCAACACATCTTCTAACCTTAAGCCTGAAAATGCAGTGCACCATAATACCTCCAAAATCAATGCAAAATGGTTATTTATGCAGTATTTCCACATGTCTTATGGTCTAGTCAGTGCATTAGTAGATATATCCAAGAGGAACCTGGATAAAAGATAGCCCTGCATTTAGAATTTCTAGCTATCCAAGAATCAAAACCAATGTAAATACTAATTAAACCTCAAAAAAAAAATCTTTCATTGTTACTATATTTTGTGCCCACTAAAATATTCACACCTATCATTTGTAGCTACCCAAGGAGTGAAGCACTTTTAAAACACTTATTAAATCACACCAAGCTCAATTTCCACATAACATCTTTAGTCACAAAGAATCCCAACTTCATTAAGAAACATAATGAAAATACTACCTAGAATTTTATCAATTTGAGGTTGAAGACAATGTATAATTATCAAGTATTATTTATAAATCAAGTTATACATTAATTATTTCACCGACACAGGAACGTAGTCACTTCTAAAGAAAAACTTGTCAGCATTTCATAAATGAATCTTGATATGATGTATCCAGCGTTTTTGGCCAGATAAAGAATGGTGTTTTCATAAGAATCACTTCATTCACCATTGAACTGCAGCTGCTGTTTAATACCACATGTCAACTGTGCATATCAGATAGACACCTCCACTTCCTGAGTTTAAGTCAGAGTTTTAATTAGCAGTTAGATCATTTAAATAATAAAGAGAAAGAAAAACATATTTCTTATCAACTATTTGTAGGTGCTAGCAATGTTTGACTTGTTCTCAATAAAATTGGCGACAATAGGTATCTTATCCATATTTTTACATTTTTTTCTTAATACGCCTATAGATTGCTACCATTTTGAGTAGATTAACTGTTGGAAAGTGACAAGAAATGTTAAAGAGTGTTAAATATTTAGGTTTTCCTCCTGAAGAGTTAAACTCCTTTTTTTTGCAATCGAATGAGAGGAAAAGAGAAAAAAACCCATACACCTCACACAGACCTTTACAGGATTAAGACCTCAGATTCTGTAGAAAGGAGTCTTATAGGAACTTTTGAATCATACTAGATGAGCAAAGAAAATGGTCAAAATCAAGAAAAAACCCTACACATTGCTACATTTAAGACAAAGGTGTTTTACTGATGTGTCCCTGCTGAAGCAGGAAGGTTGGACTAGATCTTTAGAGGACCCATCCAACCTCAACCATTCTGATATTGTGTGAGAGTATTGTCACGCTGCCAAATGTCGCTAGCTAGAAGGCACGTTAAGAGCTCATTGATGCTTGGTACCACACAGGCATGGCCAACAAAACCCAATCAGGGCTGTTTTCTCTGTCTGGTTCCAAAAAACTGAGAAAAATCAAGATCCTGCAAAACCTGCATGGCACCTCCAGGCCAACAACAGATTGCAGAGGTAAAGGAGGTGCCTCCAGGCTCTGGGCCAGGGCCAAGGTAAACCAAGCAGTGCCCACAGGCCAGATCACCTCATCACTCCGGGCTGCAGCGGCTCCTCGTTTGTCACCGGGCACTCTGCACAGCATCAAGCGACCTTGGATAGGGTGTCCAAGGATGGGATACGCACCACAGGTCAGCCGCAGCGCTGAGGGAGGCCACAAGGACGCTTGCTGCTCTACATCCTTCCTCGGGCTGTCTCTCAGGAGGGTACAACCAGAAGGGCGCTCAAGGGATAACGGTGCCACAGGCTGCGGCCTGGTCATGGCCAGGCCGCGTCCGCCATGAGGCGGCAGCGCAGGCGTCAAGGCCAGCTCCCGGCAGCCATGACAGGAGGTGGAGGCCTAGCGGCCACCAGGACACCAAGGGCAGCCCGTGGCCCCCTCAGGAGAATCCCCGCCGCCATCCCCGCTCGGGACGACCACACTACCCACCAGACCCCCTCACGGCCGCCTTCGCCCCCCGCCTCGGGCGCGCTTTAAGCGCCGCGCCGAGGGGGCGCAGCGCGCGTGCGCGGGGGAGGGGGGCGGGGCCGGCGGCGGCGCGGGGGACCGGCCCCGTGGGGGGCCCTGGACGTGTCTCCCTGCACCCCGGCACACCGGCACACCGTGTGGGGACACGGTCGTGTCTCACACCTCTCTGCAGCCCGGGACACCGGCACACTGTGTGGGGACACGGTCGTGTGTCACCATCTTGCACTCCTGGAACTCACTGCCACACTGTGTGGGGACATGGTCAT